TAAACCCTGAACCCTGAACCCCTAGAACCCTACACCTCTGCCTGGGGGTCGGAAAGGATCAGCTCACGATCTCCTTCGAGGCGGCCCTGCAAGGAAGTTGTCAGTCCGCGAGTTTCGGGTTCTCTTGTTTTTTCTTTTGAGGGGGGGCGGGGGGGGGGGGGGGGTTAGGGTTTAAGGTTTAGGGTTTAGAGTTTAGGGCCTCTTTTGGCTTAGGGCACATAGGGTTTAGGGCTTGAGGTATATGGGTCTAAGGGTTTCGAGTTTATGCTTAGGGATTCAGGTTCAGGATTTATAGGGTCCCTTTTGGTTCTTGGCACCCGAGCACTACATCCTCAGCCCTGAAATCCTCGTTGTAATCGGATGCCAACAAGGCTTTTTAAGACTGTTCAGCTGGGATCTGCAAATGTGACCCGTATCCTGCGCACCCTCATCTCTACTAGCAGCCCCCCTTTGCGACACCCTCCTAGCTTCCGTCAACTGCCCAGCGCGCCCAAAAACCCCAAACCATCAAAACGCATGCCCAAAAACCTACAGCCCAAAAGCCCACACACCAAAAAATTTTCAAAGCCCTTAAGTTCCCATAAAAACACACTCTAGAATCCCCTACATACATCCCCTATAGAACCCTCAAAAACCCTAGAAACCGCTGATATAAACAACCGATCATCCGGTAAACGAACCCTACAGCACCAGACGACCGTTATAGAAAACCAACCAAAACCCTCCTGCATGAAAGCGAAACAATCATGGAGAAACAATCCGTAAATATCGAACCCTTCTAGCACCACAAACTCCTTTTAGAAAAACCAGGTAGTCCCTTATAGAACCTCCCTGTACTATATAGAACCTAATACTCAGAAAAACCCTAAGCACTAAACATTCAAACCCTTTAGAGGAGGAGCCCCTTCGGGGTTCACCCTGAACAGAACCTTTCAAAAAGCCTCTAAACCCTAAAAGCTGAACCTCGAATTTAGGGTTTGGGCCCTGAAGGAACCGTAAATTCTAAAGCCTTGAAGGACGCCCTAAACCCTGAAACCCCAAGAGACACCCGAAACCCTAAAGCCCTTAAGGAACCCTAAACCCAAAGCCCCCTTGAGGAACCCTAAAGCCCTTAAAGAACCCTAAACCCTTAAGGAACCCGAATTACAGGATCAGAAGCGTAAAAAAGACACACCCTTAGAGCCCTGAACGAACCGTAGCCCCCCGAAGCCGTTAGTTAATCAAAGCACCAAGAAGCTTAAGACACACCCTAAACCCTAAAGCCCTAAACCCTATAAGCCCTAAACCCCTAAACCCGAAGCCCTGAACCGCTAAACGCAAAGCCTTAAACCCCCCTAAACCCTAGGCCCTGACCCCTAAACCTCTAAACTCTAAAACCCCAAGCCGTGAACCCCTCAACCCTAAACCCCTAAACCCTAAACCCCCAAACCCCAAGCCGTGAACCCCTCAACCCCAAACCCCTAAACCCTAAACCCCTAAACCCCAAGCCGTGAACCCCTCAACCCTAAACCCCTAAACCCCCAAACCCCAAGCCGTGAACCCCTCAACCCTAAACCCCTAAACCCGAAACCCCCAAACCCCAAGCC